AGTATTATTTTACTTTAAACTTCTCAGAGACCATTTTAAGAGGCTGAATTTCCTTTATTATGTTTTAGATTTTGACTTTCCTGGTTCCATTTTCTCTATTATTATTTTTAATCTTCTAGGATTTCTTTAGAATGATTATTGCTGTAACCCTTTCCTAATTTATAGAACTGGCGCTTCATTCACTCATTTTGTTTTCATTCCGAAATAGCCCTTCTGTCCTCTCAGAGGCACCCTGCTGGCATATGGTTAAGTGTTCAGCTGCTAACAGAAAGGTCAGCAGCTATGAGCCATCCTGCGGGATAAAGATGAAGCTGTGTGCTTCTGTAAAGACTTACAACCTTGGAAACCCCGGGGGACTGTTCCCTTCTGCCCTTTCCGGTCTCTTTGACTCGATTAACTTGACAACAGTGGGCTTGGGACTCTCCTTTCAGTGAAGATCTTGGGAAGGTGGAATGGTAGATGGTAGCTTCCAATAATTTAAACTCATGTTGAGAGGTCATTATTTATATAATTTTGTTTATTTTTAATTATTTTATAGTTGTTAAATCATGTTTTCTTTCAGCTGATGCAGCCCAGCAATTCCAGTATGCTGTGCGAGTTATTGGCAGCAACTTCGCCCCCACTGTTGAAAGAGATGAATTTCTAGTAGCTGAAAAAATCAAGAAAGAACGTATGTACATTTTCAACATTTTGTCATTTTCCTTTCATGTTTGTGAAGCTATAATCCTTAGAAAACTGCACTATCTAAAAATTAAAAATAATTTTTTTCTTGTTGCTAAGAATATACACAGTAAAACAGATAGCAAATTCAACATATATTAGTTCATTCTCTTTCTGCATCTTGGGCCATTTTTGATTTTAGATTTTTATAAAGAACTGCTATGTATAACACTAAATATATGTGAAGGCTCAGTGTTCTGGACCATTCCTTCTTACAGATTGATATTTCAAGGTCTATGGTAAACATTTTACATATATGAAAGAACTCAAACAAAATTTGTCTAAACACAGGTTTAAGAGAAAAACTGATCCATATATTGCGTGAATATTTCAGAGACGTCTTAGAAGAAAGTAATCATGTACAGTTTCCTGTCGGTAATCTGCTATTTTCTTTTAAGTACAGCATGTTCTGTAGTGACTCAGTATCTCTTTTCTGCTACTTCCTTAGCAGTTGCTCACTAGTGTCTCCTTTGTACCTCCAACTATCATCTCCCTAAGCATTTGGCTCTGTTTTGCACATTTGTAGTTGATGTGGGTTCCAACTCATAGTGTCCCTGTGTACAACCGAAAAAACAACAGAACCCAAGCTGTCCTCAGGATGGTTGTTATGTGTGAACCCATGGTTGCAGCCCAGCAACCCATCTTATTCCAGGTCTGCTGCTTTCTCCCTGGTCCTCTGTTTTACCAGGCATGATGACCTCCTGCGGGCACTAGTTTCCTGATAACATGACCGTAGTATGTAAGACAAAGTTTGGCTGTATTCTGGCTTCTAAGGAACATTCTGATTGTTCTTCTTTAATGACATAATTGTTTTTACTTATAGCAGTCCTGCTGTAAATTTGTACTTATAGTCCTACTATTGTACTTTGAGTATTCTTTGTCAACACCTTAATTTAAATGCATCATTTCCTTTGTGCTCATGGCTTAGGTCAGGTGCACCTTTGTCCTCAAACTGGTAGAACATTATCAGATGTACAGTGAACCCTCGTTTATCGCGGTTAATCGGTTCTAGACCCTACCGTGATAAATGAAATTCCGCGAAGTAG